AGTGGTCAGGAAATTGAGAAGGAGTGGAGGGACATGGGATGTATTGGAAGAGAAAGAGAGAGTAGAAATGATGTAAATACTATGATATTCTTTAAAAGTTAAATTATATAATATCATATTACCCTACCTTCCCTGAGGAACTATTGGCATCTGATCACTGCTGGTGAGGGAGATTTGCTTGTAAGGAAATGATGCTAGATAGGTTGACCAGGACCCAATGGATGAATTCACACTGAGGGATATTTGGGGACACAATCTTAAATAAATAGACCTTAACATATTAGACAGAATGCATGAAATCCAGTGAGGGCACTATATGGTGGCACAGATAGGGTAAGGGGTCTAAACATGATCAAAAAGGATTTTTTTTAAAAAACAAAAAAAAAAAAAAAAAAAAAAAAAAATAAAAATTTTTTTTTTTATTTGTAATTGTGTATATATGTGTGTTTGTGTGTATGTGCCTATGCGTGCAGTTGCCTAAGGGGTTATTGGATCCCCTGGAGCTGGAGTTACAGGTGGTTGTAAGCAGTCTGATGTGGGTCTTAGGAACCAAGCTTATGTCTTCTGCAAAAGCAGTACAAATTCTTAACCACTGGGTCATCTCTCCAGCCTCCATTATTTTATGCCTTTATATCTTTGCTGTCTTTTTCTTTTTCCTTCTTTTATATTGTTTGTAGTTTTGCAAGAGGTCTGCTTTTCTTTTTTATATTTTTATATTTATTATTTTTATTTTATGTGTATGCGTGTGTTGCCTGCATGTATGTAAGTGCACCCATGTCGTGCAATGCCCGTGGAGGACAGAAGAGGCTGTCGGATCCCCTGGAACTGGAGTTACGGACAGTTGTTGGCTGCCATGTGGGTGCTGGGATTCGAACCTGAGTCTTCTGCAAGAACAGTCAGTGTTCTTAACTGCTGAGCCATCTCTCCAGCCCTGAGTCTGCTTTTCAAAGACTAGATTTTTGTTTGATTGTTTGAATCTATTTTTTTCTTTGAATTTTAACTATTCCTTCCTTTTTAACTTTTTCTCTGAATTAGACATATTAGTCTAACCTTTAGAAACGAATCTACTTTGTCGCTTTCTAAATAAAATCATTTTTCTGGGAATTTCTATTATATTCCATTGATTTATTTGTCTTTTCTTTCTGGTATGATGTTACTAAAATACTATTTAACATTTGGTAGGCTGTCTTACTTTCTTTTCTTATTGCTGGGTAAAATACTCTGACAAAATCAACCTAGGCAAGAAAGGATTATTTTGATTCACAATTCCAGCTTATAGTTCATCCATACTCAGGGTGGGTCTCCCCTTATTTAACCTAATTAAGAAAATTCCTCAAAGGCATGTCCACTGGCCAACCTAATCTAGACAAATCCTTCATTAAGACTGGCTTCCCAAGTGACTCCAAATCCTGCCAAGTTGACAATTCAAATTAGCCATCATGATAGTCTAAGTATCCTTTATTATTGTTATTTTTTAAAAAAAATTCTTGGTTATTGAGTCATAAAATGTGCGACTTTGTTAGTCAATGTGAAATTGTTCCCAAATAAATCCTTCTAGTCCCTTCTTTCTGAACTCAGACATTCCTTATCTGTACAAAGCTAGTCTTTAAAAATTACTGTAATCAATCTGTTCCTATGAATACAATGTATGTGGGTGGTGTATTGAAGTATGTTTTCTGTACATGTGTATATGTGTGTGTTCTCGTGTTTGTGCATGGGGAGTAAGTATAGTGTGTGAAGTATGTGTATAGATAGGTGAAGTATATGGAGTGTGATTATTTGTATGCGTGTCTATGTGGTATATGTGTACATGACATGCTATGCAGAGCATACAGATGTGTGCTGAAGGTATGGAGATCACATATTTGTATTGTGGGTATGTCATGTTTGTGCAGATGTGGAGGGTGCATGTGAGATGGAAGGGAGATACTGAGGGTCTAGGGGGTGCATGTCAGAAAGAGGCTTGTTCCTTTAACTCACCTGCCTTCTTGGGGAAAGCAGGGCAGGATCATGACTTTCTTCATGTCCACTGTGGTCATGTGAGTCATTGGGCAAGTCTTTCCTGCATGGCTGCTGTCCAGGCTCCCACTCACCTCTGTCTTCCACTTCCCAAGAAAAGGGTGACTTGTTTCTTTAAGAAAAAGAAGCTTATAGTGCTCCACTGAGTAAAAAAGCAGGGAAGGTGGTAAAGGCAATGCCAACAGAGAGGTCAGATGGGGATCAGGCTGGTCAGGTAGGGTCTCCCTAATGAACAGGTTGATTGCCAAGTGGGGCAGAAGGAGTCAGGAGTGAACCTGCAGCACAGTGGGACTTTAGCGTCCAGTAGGAATGAAATCCCTTGATGTGGGCCTTGGTCCTTTCTCCTCCAGGCCACATTCAGACAGTTCTCTTGCCAGGTTCCACCCTCCTGAGCATCCTGCTCACAGCTTCCTGAGCCCAAAGGGCCTCCCTCCACACCAGTACAGGCTCTACAGTGGTCGCTGGAAGAAGGGTGGCTGTCACCTTGGGCACATCAACTTGCTCTTTTTTTTGGTTGTTTTGACACAGGGTGTCCCTGTAGCCCCAGCTGGCCTAGAACTTGCTATGTAGACCAGGCTGGCCTTAGTTTTTTTTTTTTTTTAATATATTTTATTATTCTTATTTTATGTGTATGAGTGTATTGCCTGCATGTATGTGAGTGCACTTGTGTCATGCAGTGCCATGGAAGTCAGAAGAGGGCTTCGGATTCCCCTGGAGTTAAGGATGGTTCATAGCTGCCATGTGGGTGCTGGGAATCGAACCCGGGTCCTCTGCAAGAGCAGTCAGTGCTCTTAACCGCTAAGCCATCTCTCCAGCCTGCCTCTGCCTCCTGAGTGCTGAGATTAAAGGCCGGCCACAACACCGGGCTCAACTTTCTTATGGATCTTCATTTGACCTGGTGGTGACACCTCCTCCTCCTCCTCTTCCTCCTCTTCCTCTCTTCCTCCTCCTTTGACTATTTCTCCTCCCCCTTCTTCCTCTTCCTCCTCCCCCTCCTCCTCCCCACTCCTCTTCTTCCTCCTCTCCTTTTCTTTTTGTTTTTTGAGAGTCTTGCTTTATAGCCCAGGCTAACCTTGAATTTACAGTAACTCTCCTGCCTCAGTCTCCCAAGTGCTAGTTTACCCTGGCTGCTGAATGCCTGCTTTGTAGTTTTCACTGGGACTGAACACATGTGCCAGGGGGCATCTTCAGGCCATGTCTAACTTCTGCTCTGATCTTGATCCTGCAGGTCCACAGCACCTTGGAACTCAGTTCCTTGTTTGCATCCGGAGGTTTGAATCTGGAGCTGTCCATTTTCTCTGACTGGATGGACTGGCTACACCAAGGTACTTCTTTGCTCAGAAAAGATGCCTGCACTCAGACTTCCCCACCTAGGAGGAGGATCAGGCATGCCCAAGTCCAGGGTACAGGTAAGTCTATCTGCCAGGAAGGGTGGTGGGCTGTCCCTACTAAGGGTAATGTTTATGGTGCAGGGGAATGTGTATGTGTGTGTGGCAGGGGGTCAGGTGGGGATGAAGGGCAGGATGGGGCTTCACAAAATACCAGGATTCAAATGATCCATGAGCTTTTATGCTGTGTGACTCATTCATACCTGAGCACATATTTGTTAATTTCAGGTGACTTCTCCGGTTTCGGTCCACCTTCACTTGGTGGGCAGCTGAACTCATGGCATCTAGTTTCTTGTCCTCAAGAAGGCAGATCTGCTGTCTGCACCTGCTCTTGGCCACCTGGGCATGTTTGGAGGTCAAGGAAGAACGAAGGAGCAGATAGGCTTGAGTTCAAATTTCAGCTCTGCCTGTTTCCAGCTCTGTAAATCTCCAGCAAGCTGTCTACCCTTTCTGCTTGAGGTTCAGATTTCTCCCTGGTAAATGGAGCTAATACTTCCTAGGCTTATTGTGAAGTCTAAATGACATGATGTGTGTGAATTGCTCAGCCTAGCTCCTGGCACCTGGTATATATATAATAATTCTGCATTCCCTGATCTTGTCTCTAGTGGATCACAGAACTACAAATATCTACTGGCAGTGAAGTCATGGTACCAGGGACAAACACTAACACTTCCCATTTTTAGGTTTACATGAGACCAACAGCTTTCCTTCCCACAGTGGCAGCAGTCAGAGATTTGCAGAGCAGATGTCTTGGTGTGAAACTGCTCCCTTGAGGAGTCTCATGAATGTTTGCTGACAAATCCATGCAAGGGTTGACCTTTCTTCTAGCTCTTTCTTCCTGCGCCAGGCTAGCAAGACTTAAAGGCCCTATCCTGCTCTGTGTCCTCAGATGGTGGGACCTGTCCTGTTGTCTGATGGCACCAGGCTGCATTGGGGAAGCCTGGAGGCTGGATGGAGCAATCTGCTCAGCTCTCGGACCTGTGCCAGGCTGCTCTCACTCAAGAGAAGGCTCAAGAGAGCAGCCCTGGCTGCAGCCTGGTGCAGGGGGCCAGTACAAGTGCAGATTCACGCTCCCCGACCGACCCCATGCCCTCCTAGGCGAGGAGGGCACTTCTTTACCCTAGCTTGGTCTGTCGATTACAGGTCTGAGCTTCAAAGCAGGTTACAAATTCAGCTAATTGCAGCCTGGGGGAGCTGGGCGAGCAGGCCAAGCTCGCTCAAGTGGGCAAGCCGGGCCGCGGGGCCCTTGGTGGGGTTGGCACTTGCAGCTTGAAGCACGGGTGCTGGAGCTGGGGGTCCTGCGGGATCAGCCGGGAAGGAGCCGCCTCTGGTGGCTGGTGGCAGTCCTCCCCCGGCTCCAGGCGCCCACGCCTCCCCGGCTCTGGCCCGCGTCTGCTCTGGCAGGTGGAAATCGCCCCATTCAAACCAGCGCGGGCCAATCAGGGCCTGGCGCGCCCGGGCCGTTCCAAAGCGCGGTGCAGCCGGGCCTGGGATCCCGCCCCGGAGACGCCTGCGAGGGGGGCGGCTGAACCTGTTGCCTGTGTTACCCGCTGCCACATAGCCGAAGCCTGGGGACAGGCGCTCTTGCCCTGAACGCAGTGGACACGCCATGGAGCGCTCCCTGCACCGCGTCTCCCTGGGGAGCCGGCGCGCCCACCCGAACTATTCCTTCTATCTCACCACCTTTGGTAAGTGCCTCTGGGCCAGGCTTCCTCAGCCAGCCCAGAAAGGCAAGTTCCCAGGTGACCAGGAGGTTCCGAGCAGGTGCTTTCCTCTTCTCCAGCCCCTTCCTCCAGGCGCAGCAAGGCTCTAGACACCACCTGCTGCCCGGCCTGCCGTTGCTGCCAGCTGCAGTGGGTTCGGCTTCACTTGGCCGGAACAATCACATCCTAGTTCATCTTTCAGACAACTGCTTTGTAACCAGGGAGCTCCCCATTAGCAAGCAGCTCAGGTTAAACCAAGGTCTAGTTACTGCGTCTGGATAGCTCATTCACCCACTTCCTTTGGCGCAGGGACTGGACAGGCAAGGGTCAACCCCGTGACCTTGTCTCCTTGTGGGTCCTCTTGGAGACTGTAATCTGACTTCTCTCTGTCGGGCATCTGATCCATAGTCAGGGGAGATGTGAAAATTTTCTCCTCCAAGACAGACCTTAGGAGAGCCTCAGGGCTGGTCTCTCGCTTGAGGGGAACAGAAAGGGGCAGCAGACCCTACTTCAAACCCAGAGACTGACGACTGGGTTTCCCCATACCCCAGCTGAGCAGGAGCTGTCCCAAAGGCCTGGGCAAAGACGGCACACCTTCCTTGGTCATATCCCTAATCAGCTCTTCATTTCCTCCCCTGTCCTGCCACTCCTTGTCAGAAGCTGCTCACTTTTCCTCTGCCAAGCCTTACCCACAGAGGAGGATCCCCACTCCCAGAAGCGGACTTCATATCTGAGCACAGGCCTTCCAGACAGCTTTGTTTTAACTTGCACACAATTTCTTTACGAAGTTGGGGTGGTTGCTGCAACAGAACTGGACTTTGCCCGGATTTCAAAGGCAGAGCATCTAAGGAATTAGGCCCTCTAGAAGGTTGTTAGTTCCCTGTTCTCAAGCTTACTCCAGCCCATCGCAATAGGCTCTTTACAGCCTGCTCCCCCACCACTCCCTGGAGCAGAGGGTGTGGTGGAGAAGCAGTGGGCTGGTTCCTAAAGACGGGATGCTGTCTGACATCCTGGGCTTCACTGGTCCAGGTGCTGGAGGATCATGAAGAGCAATTCACTAGCTGATGGCTTATTGAGCACTCACTAGGTGTCCTGCCTTGTGCTCAGCTTGTTACCTGCATGCCTCATTTAATTCCAATCCTACAGATGAATCCAGCTAATCCCACTGTAATACAGGCCTCTCTTTTTGAGACAAGGGCGGTTTCCAGATTTTTGAAAGTGGTCAGAGGATGGTGTCAGGCAGCTGTTACCTTCTCCAAGGCACTATTCAAAAGTGAATACAGTTGTTGTTTTTTTTTTTCTGTCCCTTTTATTATTTTAGTTTATATTCTTCTAGACATGTCCACTTCCCTCTCCTAATTGTAGCAAAATCAAAATTAACTTGTACCTATAGTTTTTGTAACCCATTCCTTTGCTAGCATGATGTGAATATTTCCTTGTGTTCACCCTGTATTATTCTGCTGAACTAATCTCTCTGCCAGATCTGGGAACTTGAGGGTCTGGGTCCAGCTGGGTGTGGAGCCTCTTGCCTGGCCATGGTTTGGGGTTGGGTCTGATGGGCATCATTATTAGTGAATGCTGCTTGAATCAGTGGCCACGACCTAAGTGTGCAGGAGGTGGACAGGAGCTGGGAAGAAAATGGAGCTGCCTGTTCTTTTTATGCAATTTATTCTCAGCTCTTTTTAAAGATATGAATTCAAAGTTTGAAAAGTTCTCTTCTGTCTCCTGCAGTTGCTCTGTTTCCTGGGGTGCCGTTTGCCATGGTGACCTTTTGGGGGGCTGCTAATTTTCAGTGTATACTGAATGATCTTTGCTTATTCGTTCCTGAAGATTCCAATTAGTGGTTACCAAACTCACCCAAATTCCAGAAACATCTTCAGTTGTGGTGATGCTTGTATTAGAGATTGAATCCAGGGCCCACTGCTCAGTAAAGAATGTTCTACCACTGAGTTATTCCCCGCTCCTGAAAGTGTGTTAAAACACGGATTCCCAGGATCTTCACACAGAGATTCTGCTTTAATAGACATGGAGTGAAGCCTGGAAATCTAACATTTTAAGACTTCATAGAAGTATTTTGAAGGCTTAGAATATATGGATTCAAGGTCCATTCGGTGGCCATGGTGGATGCTGTTTAATGTGAAGGTCATTGCTATTTCTCTCAGTTCCCTGGCCTTTCCCCAGCCTAGCAGGCAGCTGCTGGCCTTCAGCAGTGGCTTTGCCTGGGAAGAGCCTAGTAAAGATGTTGCAAACATTTAAAAGAGGTGCAAGCATCTCTGAAAATGTAAAGAGAAAAGTTGTTTTTAATATAAATTCCCTTCAAGACAAGTACTATATAATATACATATTGTGGATGGGGGGCATGAGCATAGCCCCTGTACCTCCAAAAGGGGCATAGTCAAGTAATATTCATTGACCATCTCACTGCCTTCTGAGGGTATGGCTGACTTCAAGGGAAGGAGCATGCAAGCTGAGGTTAGACCCAGGTGCTTTTTTCTTTATTGTAATAACTGGTGTGATGTGGAGAG